TGCCTACTTTGGAATGCTTCTGCAAGCAAAAAATTCTAACAAATAAAGAATCACATATAGGGACAACGAATTGAATTTCAAGTAGACAAGCTGTGACGGTTTACATACATGCACACGCACACACACACGCAGGCATACACGCGCAGGCATACACGCGCACGCATACAAATATATATATATATACCATGCTATTCGGTTCAATTGATAGTTGGGAGAGAGGAAAATATTTAACACACGGAAAGAGTCGAGAACGGCTTTACTGCACAGAAAAAGCGACAAGGAAGATCTGAAGAATTACACCCGATTTGCCAACTCGTCCATATTTAAAATTTGTTCACCAGGATTGTCACTTATCGGCTAACAAGACATCTCGATGAGCAGTAGCTGAGGAAACAAGCTGAATGCCGAATTACAGCACTACGAACCAATATTTCCACTCCAAATTAGCACTTGGAACGTACAAGGGAGTACTGATTCTAACAGGAGTGATCCCGGTATTCCTTATATACATACAAAATACACGCACTTATATTTTCAAACACACACATAAGGAATCGGCTTATTATGACGACCCGAAGACAAACTGCGAACCTTTTGCAACAAAACGAATGAGTATTATTTCGCAGGTGATGAACTGCATTCGCCACATTCGTAACGAACGAATCCGATCAAATTGATACATAAATTCCTGCAGGCTTGTCTGCGATTCCGCTACAGCTCGATGATACATGTGTGCCAGCATTTTTTGTTTGATTGCTGTAAAAATGGCAAATTAAATGGCATGAACAAAAAAAGCTCTGGAAGTGAAAAACACAGCAATTCTAGAAACGGTCGTCGAAGTCTTCGTCAATAAAGGGTAATTTCGGCCCGAGAAATGCAAAAACGTTCATTGCAGCACTGAAAACTAGATTAATAGGGGAGCTAGCTATAAAATGTTCATTACTAAAAAGAAATATTTTTGAAGGGGAGGGACCCTGAATTTTAAAGAAAATGGCGAAAATCACAACCATACGAATGATTGAAATAGACAAATAGACTTAGCTAGCGTGTGAAAACCGACTGTTGGAAAACCTTGCGATTCAGCCGAATTATTAGCCCCCACATCAATTTTTGCTTCAATCATATCTGCGGGCCTATCATCCAATTTTTCAACTAGTTTCGGAAGCAGTAAAAATGCTTGTTTTTTGCAACTATTGTTTTGGAAAAGTGCCATTTTCCAACTATGCCTACACGATTATTCACTGTGAAAAACACCTTTGCTGTATTGCAAACAGGTACCACCAAAGGATCCACAAGTTCAAGATTTAATAAATAGCAACTCGCACCAGACTAGCCGGTGCGATCATGCGTTTCGTGCAATACAGCTTATTAAACGATTGCCTATTAATGATTCTCACTGTATGCAAAAATAGTTTAAACATTGGAAAATGGTTAGAAATTTCACGCACCGGCGCATGAAAGCTGAATATGAAACCTTGAAGGGTGAATATTTTCCCGTGACTCCCGAGTTAACAGTTTAACCGCCAAAATTCTCACGAGGCTATAGGTGATACTCAACAGCGCGGAACGCTGAATTGGAATGGGCAAGGTTGAGCGTGGGCAGGGGGTCATTACCCTAAAATTTCAGCCTCCGAGTTGAAAGTGCGGGGCAAAATGTAGGGACACACACACACACAGACAACCCCGTGACAATATGCGTTTTGTAACGCTGTTACACAGCACAAAACGCATAACAAAAAGAGAGCGATGCAGCGCACCGGAAAGGTATGTTTCAGCACCGCAATGAGATGAAATAATCTCGTTGTTTACCAGAAAGCGATAACCGGACGAGGGGAATCTGAAAAAAAAGAAAAAAAAAACTGAAAATGATTTGAAATTGACAAAAATTGAAAACTTTGCACAATACAAATATATCGCATAATTCCAGCTACCACTTCATCATGGGGCAT